CATATATTTGTGTACTGTACCTCTCTCTCTAATAGTTCCTTTTGTTCCATATTACGAGGGAATCCTTCAATAGCAATGCCAAGGCTGCTTTTACACTCATTTATCTTATTCTTTAATAGTTCAAATGTTTCTTCCTAAAATAATAACAAAAGAATAAGAACAGATAATAATGTTATTACCAAGATGGAATGCATCATAAGCAGTAAGCAGCAAAACACACCATAAATGTATCACCAATTTAATGTCAGGACAGACTACATTGCTACATTGCTGCTAATAATCACAATAAAAGCCAAGGTTGAGTATAAACCATATTTATTAGCAAAAGGCTACAGACTTACTTGTGGTGCCATTTCTCCTTGTGACAGTAATTGTGCTAACATTCCCCATTTTTCACTTGGAGCACCTTCCTCAGATATCTTGCACCTCAACAGTTCCCCGGCAGAAATGTGTACATATCCATATCTTTCTTGTAGTTTTTGACATTGTGTACCTTTTCCACTACCAGGGGCACCTATGAAAACATCATAGACACCAAATAAGTTTTTTAGTATTTTTTGCTGGTGTTGCTTTTTTATCTGCATATTTGCATGAAGAATTTTCATGAAATTTATAGAAGGGGTTGTCCTTGAGACAATGACAAATCAATCAGAATAGATGATTTTCTGTTCACTGAAAGATGTCACATTATGCTAAAAACGTGGATCAAATGTTTGCAACAAAAAATCCAATGTTATGGTTTTGAATGATAAGAATATGGCATTGAGATATCCTTACTTCATGTTCATCTTGAAGTAAACGAAAAATGGTCTCTAGGAGAGATCTGAATCTGGTTGCCATACAAAATATGAATGTTTTTGTGACATTTTTAAGGATGGATTGCCCATAGGCAAAGACAAATCAATTAGATTTTGGGAGTAATCCGAATCTGATTGCCATAGAAACATGAACATTTTTGAATATTTATTTATTAGTAGATAACTTAAAAAGTTATGAACAAATTTTCATGAATTTGCTAGGAGGGGTTATCCTTGAGACAAATATCAATCAATTAGATTTTGGGAGAGATCTGGATCGGGTTGTCATACAAACAGGATTTTTTGGAAGAATTCTTCTTTGCCTTATAACTGAAAAGTTAAGAACCAATTTTTGTGAAATTTGTTGCATAGATTGCCCATGAGACAAAGAGATCTATGAATGGTAAAGTTACAAGCACAATCAGTTCATCATTGAAAGATTTATTTCCAGTAATAGAATTAATAAATATGTCAGTTTATATTCTCAGCTATTGAACTTACCAATAACTAAAATAAGTCTTGCTTGTGTGGATGGACCTTGTCTTGAAATTGGAGGGAGTGGTGATGATTTGCTGAGTTGTGGAAGTGTGGGTTCTAAAAAATAGCAATGAATATACATGTAAAGATTTAATACAGTAAAATTCTCTTTGTAATTACTATTTACTTATTAGTAGTTACAACACTGTTTCTATGCAGGACAAAATGAGTAATATTTTAATGATGTACACATGCTGTACATTCAACACATTTTGGCTTATAATGATAACAATATTATATCATTATTGACATTATTAATTCTGAATAAAACAAAAAGCAAATGCTGTCTACAAAAAGAAAATCAAAGAAAGCTTAGAAAAAAATTGTGTGTGCTCAGGGTATTGGAGGCATGAAGTATGAATAAGGAATATTTACTATATCAGAGATAGAGCAAAAACCTGTGTGTGCTAAGGGTATTGGAGGCATGAAGTATGAATAAGGAATATTTACTATATCAGAGATAGAGCAAAAACCTGTGTGTGCTAAGGGTATTGGAGGCATGAAGTATGAATAAGGAATATTTACTATATTAGAGATAGAGCAAAAACCTGTGTGTGCTCAGGGTATTGGAGGCATGAAGTATGAATAAGGAATATTTACTATATTAGAGATAGAGCAAAAACCTGTGTGTGCTAAGGGTAT